GTAAGTTAATTTGGAATCACAAGAATTGAACACAAAATTAAGTTTTTCTCTTCTTTTTTTTTCCCATATATAAAGGTTGTACAAGACTAGTAATAAAGGATAGTAGATGTAGAGAGTACTCTTTTAATACCCTACCACTTAAAAACAAAGTCACTTCCCTTGGCCTCTTGGTTGCCGGTCCTGTAGCGCCTATCCACTATCGTATTCCATTTGAATATAGAATCTAAAGCAATCAAATCACTAAACAAATACCAACTATCGAATCGAAACAATGACTAAGATTGCTCGAGGTTGGATAATCTATCCAGAGTTATTAATTAGCCCCCAAGTATGTCGCTTTTTTTCTAATCCACACAATGTTGTCTATGGTAGTTATTAACACAAAATCACTCTCACTATATTTGTTTTACCAGATACAATGACTCGAATCATTATCCTACATGTACACGGGGTAATTCTTACAGGGATAGAAGAGTGAACAATCTTATTTAGTATCATTAGTATTTAACAATAGTCTAGATGACATCATTAGTGACATTAAATTACAGATTCAATTAAATACTAGTAATTACTATCCATTTAATAGGTCATATGATATGATGATACCTAGACTTAGGATGTGCTGCCACTTAAACTGATGTTTAAAATCGTTAGTGCTAGATAACATTATTCTGGAAGAATACGAGCGCCATTGAAATTTTTAAAGAGTTTTACATGTGATTGATTAACTATTCATTTTTTTAAAAAAAATTCAATCATACTATGAAACTTAAGCGCTTGTTTGGGCTCCAATTTAATAAAAATTTGGGAGAAATGAGTTTTAAAATAATATTTTTTCGAAAAATGTGTTGTTAAAAAATAAGGAAAAAGCTATATGTACTACACAATTGTCCCGAATTGTTTACTTGATGCTGACATGGCACTTAAGAGAGTCAAACATAACGGCTGCTGAGGAACCAGTGTGATAATCTCGCTTTTTGAATAAACCCCCAACACCCCAAATTTCACCATCCTCTCCTCGCACTCCTCTCTCACGAAATCGTCGACAGAAATCACCCCAAAATTGAAGATCTCGCTTTTTGAATAAACCCCCAAAATCCCAAATTTCACCTCCTCTCTCACGATCCATCCTAATTGCCGGCAGAAATGACCCCAAAATTGAAGATCCAAAATTTTTATTAAACCCCCAATCGCCGGCAGAAATCAAACCAAGGAAATCGCGGGTCGAAGTGAAACCGGTGAAATAAAACCTCCGACGAAATTATTGCAGGTCGCTTGAGATCTTGCTGGAACTGTGAAATCGCCGGCACCTTTTCTGTGAAATCAACTTCCTGTTTCGTGTTTGGGAGACATCGAGGGACTGGCTTGAATGTGATTTCACTTGGTTTTTTAAATTGTGGTGGTTGATGGTGTAGATGTGAAGATGATGACTTGTGTATGAATTTGAACGGGTGATTGGAGTTTGAATGTTGAAGTTTGTTGTGTAATGTTGTTGGGGCTTTTGGTTTTGGTGTTTGAATTTGTAGTTTCACAAGTCAGTGTATTGTAAACTGAAGTTTGAATTTGAATTTGTAGTTCCACCAATGTGCTTTTCAGCTCCATGAGTTTTGTGCTACAAATAAAATGATCTGTTGGTGTATGTAATGTGTCTAAGATAATGTTGCTGGTGTGCATTGTGCAACAACATAAACTGATCTACCCGTCTTACAAAACCAAAACAAACTGAGGCAACAAATAGACAGACATATCAGTTTATGGTGTGTATATTAGTGACCTGTGAGGCAACAAATAAACTGAACTTGCACACCATAATCAGCTGAGGCAACAAGCCACAATCAACAAATTAAGTTGTCTTACACACCATAATGAACGTAGGCAACAAGCCATAATCAACAATATAAACTGAAATGTTTGTCTTACAACACTAACATAAACTGAGCTTACACTACCAACAAGCCAACCTTGTCTGTCTTACACTCCATAATCAACATACGCTGAGGAACTACAGAAATTGGTCTGTCTATCTTAAACTGAGCTTAGATTTATAATTACCATTGCAACAGTTTCATTATCAACAAGAGCTTTTAACACCTTCAATGTTCACTTTTACAATGCGCAACTACAAAATTTCCAAAAGAAATCAAGGTTAAAGGCACCATTAAACATGAAGATGGCAGATATATGAAAATAGAAATGCATTAAATCTGAACCAACTTCATTAATTTCACAAAAAATATATACAGCCGAATAAGCTGCAATGAGTACTTCTCAATTAATTGCTTACAAAAATATACAGCCACATTTGTGTGGCAATAAGTGACCTTTAAATCAAAATCACCCACGTGAAACATGTCAGTTCACTATTGACAAAAAAATATACAACCGACATCACTGGATTCTTTACACCCCTAAATAAAAATCACCCACGTGGAACATGTAGTTCACTATTGACAAAATAATATACAATCGAACGTCACTGGATTCCTTAGACCCCAAAATCAAAATCACCCACGCTTTCCTGTGTGCCGCCTAGTTGGGAAGGGCGGGTGGTTGTACTGCGAATCTCCTAAAGAAAAAAAAGGACAATGTCATGTTCAAATATTTCGCTTTCGTACTCACGCGAACCAAGCATAATATTTGATAAATACCTGAACATCAAAGGGGGGTGGAACATTGCCTTTCCGCCTTTTCGATGTAGAGTTCGTTGGCACCTACATGTCATGAAAAAAAATATCAGTTAAACAGTGTAGCGATTCTAAAAAAAAATATATACATATACTACAATAAATTGTCTCGAAATCATACCTTATGACATGTTCTTGATTTTTCTAGATGTCCTTTTCGGTGAAGTTTTTTAGGAGCTCCCTTTGTTTTTGTGTATTTCGGGTCCAACAGTTTTTCACTAACTGATTAACTTGCTTCATCAACACTTTGGGAGCCTCCAGTCATAGTCTTCAACATCGATACCTCTACCGTTTGAAATTCAATCCACTCCATAATTCCATGTGCCCGTGACTCGTCATGTGCCACAAAGTCAGCTAACTTTGTAAAAGCATTGCACATTTGCTCATATCTAACTTGGTCTGGAGTACTAATCCAACCTTCGTAATTGATCGGAACCCTTGTGTACGGTCTGATCACATCCCTCCTCCACCTCTTCAAAATGTACTTCTCGGGTAGTAATTTCACTTGGTTTCGTATCAAAACTGCAATCGCGTGGTTACAAACAATTCTTCGGAACTCAAATAAGTGACAACTGCACTCAAACTCACAGTCATCTCTATTGAAGTACACTTTAAACATTTTCGTCCTCATACATTCATTAACGATAATGTCCTCACGTACATCGTATGTAGTGTACAAGTATGAATCATGCACAGATAACACTTCACAATATACTTTCCCAGTAAATTGTTCTTGGAACTCCTTGAACTTCATGATTGTGTACAATGATTGAAATTGCTTCTCCATTTCGTACCTTGTTGCACATGGGACCATGTGTGAAAATGATTTAAAGTCGGCTTGAAACTCCTTTTCAACTTTACTTCTCAATGCACGCTCATACTGCTCTACAAATTGCTTCAGAGATGTTTTTGAATGAACATAACCATCGAAAAATGCATTAATACCCTCACTTCGTTGTGTAGTTGACATACCCGCCCAGAATGATGTTTTCAAAAAGCATGGCACCCATCGACTTCTTTCATTGTATAGACCAGTCAACCAACTATGTTCCAGCAATTCGTAATCTTCGAGCATAGTTTGCCAACCTTGTTCGAATTCCTCGCTACTTTGCACATCGTACACCAATCTATGTACATTTGCAAAAATAGAAGGTTTATGTCTATGGCCGCCGAATTTTTCTGGTAACTTTTTCAAAATATGCCAGAGGCACCATCTGTGCTTTATGTTTGGAAATACGATTTCTATTACATTTTGCATAGCACGATCTTGATCTGTAATTATTCCAATTGGAGCTTGATCATGCATACATTGTAGCCATGTCCTGAAAAGCCATACGAAAGTTCTTGTATCTTCATTTGAGACCAAACCACATCCAAGTAGAGTTGATTGCCAGTGATGGCATTTCGTACTTGTTTGTCAAATACATGGTATCAAATGTAACTACGTCGTCAAATTCCTTACACGCTTACCTACACCTGTTATCCACCCAAAATACATTTCTTAGTCGGGACTCGTCATCTACGTCTATACTAAAGAAGAAACCAGGACTAGTAGCTTGCATATTTGAAAAATACGCTTGTATTGCAACAGGTCTCCTTCACCAATTCGTAATCTTCAAGCTTTGTCAATGTAATTTCTACAATCTTTCTCAACATATGTAATATTCTCATAACCACCGGCTTCAACTACGGCTGAGTTAAAACTCTTATGTAATGGTATTCCAGCTATATCATTTATTTTAAACTGTCTTCTTGAGCGTGCACTTATTTCTCGATTGCATATATCAGCTTACTAGGGATAGGGCTAGAAATCAGATCATGCTTAATCCTAGATATGAATCTCTAAGCTTGACTGTGTTTGCCTTAGTTTTAGGTGAAGCCCTTGAACAGATAGAACCTGCTACTTATGAAGAAGCTATTAATGGAAATTATTCTGAAAACTAGATAAAAGCTATGCATGAAAAAATGAAATATTTGAGTGATAATAAAACCTGGAAACTTGTTAAGAAATCGAAAGATCAAAAATTGGTTCTATGTAAGTGGATCTACAAGTTAAAAGAATGTTTGAGCCCTAATAATCCTGTAAGGTATAAGGCGAGAGGAAAAATCTATATGCACTACACAAATATCCCGAAATGGTTACTTCCTGCTGACATGGCATACTCCCTCTAGTCAAACATAACGGCAGGTTGGGGAAAGGAAAACCATTTTGCACCTTTCTCTCTTTCATTTCCTCTTTATTCTCTAGACTGCGTGGTTTCCTCTTCTGCTGTCCTGTTCTTGAATTATTTGGATCTTTATTATCTTTCGCCTTTTCTACGCATGCTTCTCTCTTTGGGGTAAAAAGCCCACATGAAGCTTTTCTCTACCCTTTAGAACTATCATTTGGCTGACAGCACTTTGAGCTCTAGATATGGTTTCTATTAATTTCTTCTTCCTCATTCCTCCAGGAGCAACAATTTTAGCAGGGTAGTTGTCAACCTCTAGCATTATCCATTTCGGATTCCCCGCTACTTTCCTCCACAAGCACTGCCTCTTGATCCGGTTCTCATTTTCATACTTTTCAGCATATTCCTTGCACCAGGGGATCACGTCTGCAGTAGCCTGTGGAGATTCAATATCTTCTGCTTCCTCAAGAGCCAAACCTTCTATAGGACGGTCTCTAAAGGCATGACCGAAAAGTCTAAAGGCATGACCGATCTTTTCAGTACTGATTAAGACTCGAGCCGAATTTTAACCCAGAAATTAAGGTTGGAGAGTGCTACTGCCTAGCTCGTTCACCAGCCCATGTACCCCACCGCAACATCACCACCTCCACCCCATCCCACGCCACACCCAAGCCCCTCCAGTTAAACATCTGTTATTTCTATATGAAGGAAATGTTGTTTGGCAAGGAATGAACCACGATTTCGAAAATCCAATTGTTCAGTTCAAAAATCCAATTTTCCAAGTTCCTACGAATTCTCCAAGTTTGAAAAATGCAAACTGATATTTTTCATTTTGGGCATTTTTCTAACCCGTAAGCTATAAATTTAAGGGAACTTTGAAAAATATCAGTTTGCATCTGGGAGCTTGGACGGGCCCATCAGATATTAGCTCAGACAAGTGTGGTGAAGTTGTGAAGATTCATGGATTGAGATTCTTGGATGAACTTGTGAAGATACATGGATTGTAATCTTGCATGCCGATTAAATTGAAAATAACTTACCCATGTTGTCGCCGGCATCGCATTCGTCGGAGTGGGAGTTGTCGAGGTCCAAGTCGCTGACTACGTCGCCGAAGTTTTCACTTTGCTCCATGTATCGCCGGAAGCTTCTTCACTGCACAGTCCTTAGTAGAAACGGGAGTTTGGGCGCCTTTTAATTGGGATTTTTTTTTTTTCATGTGTTGAATTGTCAAAGATAGCCACGTCAGCAGGAAGTAAATGGTGTAGTAAATGGGTGAGTACTTGTAGCACTTAAAAGAAAAGTTTTCGATATACGTATTATATTATTTTATTGGAGAATGTGTTGTTAAAAATGAACTTTGATAAAATGAGTTTTTTTTTTAAAATGAGGGCAAACATATGCTTATTTATTAGGTATACTGAGAAAGTAACTACGAAAACGAACTCTAAACACCCGTAAAAGATGGTTATTAAATTGTTACAAAATAATTTTAATTGAAGTTTATTAAGTCAAAAAGAACCAAGTGACAAAAAGAAATTATATTATATAATTCTATTCTATTTGTGAGAAGACTTTATGTTTGTCGTGGGTCATATTATATCATAGAAAAACTTCATACATTGTCTTCATGTGGGCCCATGATGCACTAGTTGGCTAACAACCGTTGGATTTCTTCTATCACGACATATTGAAAATAAAATCTATTTATAGAGACTTTCAAGATTCTTTCATCCAGCTAACATTGCTTCCTCTCCTCCCCAATATCTATTATCTTCATAAACCGCCGCCCGCCAGCGCCGCCGTGAACGGTGGTTCAGTCACTTTGCATGGCCACACCAACTTCAATCCCATTAATAACTCTCAAGGAAGAAGATCATGACATGGAGGAGAAAGCAACTTTTCTACCTACAGGAAATGCTCCAATGCCTTTACAAACTGCACAACCACCGCCTTCGTCGGTGTCTCTGCCTCCAAGGAGATCGTCGACTAAAGACCGTCACACAAAAGTCGAGGGCCGAGGGCGGAGAGTCCGAATGCCAGCCACCTGCGCCGCCAGAGTATTCCAGCTAACCCGAGAGCTCGGCCTCAAGTCCGACGGCGAAACCATTAGGTGGCTCTTAGAACAAGCTGAGCCCTCCATCATCGCCGCCACCGGTACCGGCACTGTCCCAGCCATTGCCATGTCAGTCAACGGTATCTTAAAAATCCCCACCACAGGCTCCGCCACCACAGACGAAGGCGTTCAGACAAACCGCAAACGCAAACTCCCCACCAACAGCGAATTTGTGGAAATAAACACTCTCAGCAACAAAATCTCTAACTCTAATATTAATCTCACAACTGCAAATCCCGCAATTATTTCAACAAATTCTTCAATGTCAGCTCCATTAATGTCGACTGTTCCAACTCCGGCGCACGCACTGGTGCCACTGATCACTATGTGGGCAATTCCAGCTGCACCGCCAAATGCAAACGCATCACCAACTTTTCTTATCATTCCACAGGCAGTACAAAATGGGCCGCCATTGGTGAATATTTCTGCATCTGCAAGGCCTATATCTGCAGTTTTCGCCACCGTGCAATCTGGAGGCGCTAACATAGCACAGCCTCTGCCGGACACGGCGGCGGTCCAAGTTAATCTTCAGAGTGTGCCGACTTCAACTGCTTCAGCAAGTTGCACTTCTGAGGTTGAGATATCACAACAAAGACTCAGATGTTGAGGGAATTCGTTTGTGGCTTTTCTTGTTTTTGTTAATTTAGAAATTATAAATTCAAGAATCAGGCTTTGGATTTCTTGTGGATTATCTAAGAACTTAATCAGATCATTTGATTAAATCTTAAAGTACCCAACCAGAAAGTTAGAGCCTCTGATTTCGAGGCTGCATCGCATGTTTGTTACACGTTCTTGATTTATAGTGTTACAGTCAATTTAATTATTTTATCTAAAAGTTTAAACGTATGAAGGTGCTACAAAAAGAATTGGTATAAGAAAATATCCAATCAAATAGTTAGGGTAGAGCTTGATGGTGACTTTACGTAAAAACTCCCGACTTTTGCAAAAATGGATATCAAACGGGCTCTTAATATTTTATTGCGGCCGATTGGACGGTCAATGACCACCCATGCTGACTTAAAATCCTAGATTCGCCCCTGGTAGCGGGGACGGATGTAGGGAAAGTCCAATCTAGTTCCAACCCATTTTATTTTTTGTAGTGTAAGTAATTGTTTTTTTTTTTTAATATATTAATTTGACTTGTAGTTCGAATCTGTTCCTGAATAGCAGGTTATGGATAAAACTAGGGTAATTGGCGCAAAACGTCTCTAACTTTCTTTTTTTGGCTCAGAACGTCCCTGCCTTTACCTTTTCTTGTGCAAAACGTCTTTTTCGTCTTTTTTTGACCATTTTACCCTTCCATTTAAAAAATACAAATACAAAAGAAAAGAAAAATAAAGAATAAATTGTAATTATGGGTTCAAACAATTAAAAATGTGCAAATTAGTCACAAATATAAAAAAACCATCACCCCTAAGCCGCCACATTTGAAGGCAAAATTCCCTAACCTCCGATCATCTTGGCTGCTGGACCAACATACCACCTTGAAGCACTCATTGCCCTCTTCACAACCCATCGAACTACCATTCCCAACTCTAGCAGATTTGACCGGAATCGAGCTTCAAATTTCGCCGTATGAAATGTGGTCAAACGTCGGAATCACGCCATCCGGCCACCTTCCTGGCCGGAACATACCACCGGCCAACTCCCCTACTCAGGACGACCTCGACCATGCAAACAATTTAGCCCAAGCAGCAAGGATAAGATCTGAATTTCAAATTGAAAGCTGCCCGTTGCGATTGTTGTAACACCGCTGTGACGACCCATGGTGACGAAACACCTAGGCTGGGTGCTCCATCACCTGGCGCACCTAGCCCAACCATGGGTCCACTTAAATTTGACTCCAATCATCTTCAATCTGGGTCTGAAATGTTCACTGGTGCGAACTCGCAACTGAACTGTCTTTGCTTTAAAATTGGTGGTTGTTAGTTGGTTGTTGGAGGAAATTGTTTACATAGATAGCTTCCACTTGATGAGGAGAGTCGACCAGTGGTGGATTCCGACCGATTGGGTGGCCGGACGGCGAGTTGTGGGTGTTTGACCGATTTTCAGGATGCAATTTTTGAATTTGATTTCCGGCCAAATTATAATGGGTTATGGGGATTTCTTGGTATGTAGTTGTAGAGGGTAATGAGGAGAACATGTTGGGACCAATATCCGACGGTTGTGGCGGCCGGAAGTTGCCGGAAAATGAGCTCATGTATTCGGCTGAAAAGGGGCAAGAGAGATTTTTTTTTTGTTATTTTTAATATTTTTATAAGTTTTGGATTGATTTGCATTTTTTAAAAAGATTAGGAGTAAGATTGCAANATAGGAGGGTATATTAGTCATTTTTTGTTAAAAATTACTCAAAATGATGTTTTGCGCAAAGAATGTGAAAGGCATGGACGTTTTGCGCCAAAAACGAAAGGTATGGACGTTTTGCTAAAAAACGTGCAAAAGTATAGACGTTTTGCGCCAATTATTCATAAAACTTAGTACTGTACATGTGTGGCAAGTACCCAAGTGAGCGATGGCTGTGGAAAGATGTGCACGTGTGAGAGTGGAAGAATCAGTTAGACATGGCGAGGCAGAATGGGGGAGAAGTTTGTTGAGAGGGGTCCACATGGTGTGGGTTTGTGTTATAAATAGTGGGCCCCACACTGGTGGTCATTAACTAGCGGTAGGGCGCCGCTCCCGAAGTGGTGGTGGACCCGTCTAGCAAGGTGGCGGAGTGGTGGCCCCGGCAGACCAACCCTAGTGAGAGAAAGCTAAATGGTGGGTACCAGAAGGCGTAGCTATTAATGGGTGTGACTTTTTAGTGTGGCCCGTTTATATAATTTGAAACGCGGTTAGCCTTAGTGTGGTCTAATTCTGTATTATATACAGTATGGACGTAGGGATGATAGAGTTAAATGTTTCTTTAGTCATTGAATTTATACCTTCGACACGTTTGTTTAAAATACTTTCGAACGATCATTAAACTTTAACATATTACACTTCATCACTTACTCATCATATTTTATTAATTTTTCAAATACGTTCAACCAGTCACTGAGATTTAACATGATGAAATTTATCACTCACTCACCACGTTTCATTAGTTACTGAACTTATATCCCCACTTGCTTTACTCGCTAAACCTTAAAATACTTTCGAGTGATCACAGAATTTTACTAATTGAATCCAACTGCTAAAAAATTGAAAATTTTGAAGTATAAAATACTATACACGAAGAGAGCGCTATTTTTTCCTCTTGAAAACCTTATGGCAACTCTAAAAATTATATTTTATTAATCATGATTAATATTCTTGACTCTAAATCAAAAATTTCATTATCTGTTTGAAATATAATTTTTTATTTTATTGATTTGGGTCTAACATCTCAATCGAAATTAAGAAATAATTTCTCTATTTCATTTTCTCGACGTGAAGAAATATTATAATTTAAATTAAGATTTATGTCAATTGAAGCTAGCATTCTTCTATCCCCTAAACATAAATTTTGACGACCAGATAAATTACATCTTATTGACCAATATCAATATTATCGTCTTAAATTAATAGTCATTATATGTTTTGTATTTATTTTTATGTAAGTCAAGTTTTATAGAAAATTAACTTTACTAAAAAAATATAATGAAATGCATTGACTACTCGGAAGCATTTTAAAGTTCACCGAGTAAAGTGTGGCCAAGACACAAGTTTAATAACTAATGAAACATGGTAGGTGAGTGATTGAGGGTAACGAGTTAAAGAGTTCAATGACCATTTAGAAGCTTTTTAAAGTTCAGTAATGAAATGTAAATATTAAAGTTTAAGTAACTATTAGATATTTTAAAATTTATTGAGTAAAACATGACTGAGTTATAAGTTCAATGACTAATGAAGCATTTAACTAATCGATGCTAGGATGAATGTTCAGTATTTTTATTTTCTTTTGTCAATGAAATATAATTAAGGCCATGTTTGTTTCGTATTAAAATCAGATTTTAATTTAGCCCATGTTTGTCTACCATTTTTCAAAAAATTGTTTTCTACAGTAATCAATATCTACCACATATTCAAATAATAAAATATTCTACACATAAACCGATAAAGTTTCTTTCAATTTCAAACACACATTTTCCAAAAAATACTATTCATTACACCATTTTCTTCTCAATAATGGTTGACAAACATGCACTTAAGTCAAAGTCAAACAATCAATATTAATCACATCTTTTATGGGCTCCACAACTTTTCAACCACACATTTCAAAAACTTTTATCACAATTTAATTCACACCAAACACTCTCTAAATCAGTTTTACATTATAATTTTTTTTTTAATGTTCAATTATGCGAATATCTCTCAAGATACTTTGTGATTCTAACTCTATGTACAGATTTACGAATTAATGCCCCCGCGTGCTTGGTAAGAGAATAGTATTAAATAAAAATGAAATTAAAATAGCGTTTACTTAGACAACTCTAGACCAGCTTGCAAGATGAATTTGACAATATTTTCAATAGTATTAAATAAAAAAAGTTAAAATATTATTTATTCTTCTGAACACTATTTAGTGCAATGTAATGCTACATATTAAATATTTCACATAATGAGTAATCTAATATGCAATATTTCAAGTTGTTTGAATATGACTATATTTCTCTTATAGATAATAAAAATAATTTATATATGCGGGAGAGAGAAACTGAATAAAAAAGGGAAAAAAAATCATTTAAAGAGGATACTATAAGTAAGACAAAAATATTTATAGGTTGTCAAGATATAAATTATGATTGTACGTTGAAGATAATTATAGAGATAATTAATTATTTCTAAGATACCCTCTCGCTTCAAAAACTACAAACATATATCGAGATTTATTTCACGCGACATAATTTTGCTTTTGTTATAAAATTAAAGTGGAAAATAAAAAATAAAAAAATAATTCTAATAATATATGTTGTAAATAACTGAGTCAGATCGATCGGTTCAATCGGGAAAAAAATGAATCGATCTTTAAATCGGTTCGAATATGACTAAAAACCACTTGAATTAAAAATTAGAAAATAATAATAATAAGACAATTATAAGGTCCAATCGTAAAATATGTTGACTCGGCACTGAGATTTATCAATCAGCTTATTTTTAAGTGGAAATTACACCTATCCCTACATTTGGAGATCCAATTTCTAAAACCAGATTTTGTCTTTTTTTTTTCAAAAGTCAGAACTTTTTAAAATAGATACAAGTTTATTATATTTAATTAAATATTATAAAAAATATTATAAAAAATAAATTATATAGGATTTGAAACCCTAAATCCCTAATTCATTTTCTCACCCTCTCCTCTCT